GGCGCCGAGCCTAGTTTTTCTATTTTAGTAGAGATGGAGTCTCATTCTTGCTCAGGGTGTTGAACTCCTAAGCTCAAGCAGTCCACCCCGGTTGGCCTCCCAGAGTGCTAGGATTGCAGATATAAACTACCAGCCCCACCCAAATCTTTACTTGTTAATGAGTATTTCATTGATTCTTGATTTTTTTGGAGTTGGTGACCTCTTTTGAGAATTTTGCGAAAATAATGGACTCCCCCTGTTTCCCCAAATATGCTTATACACATAAAATTTTACATGCAGGTTCCAGGACCCCAATTTAAGATCCTCTAATATTTTGGTGTAGATTTTTGTATATTAGGTTTTCTAAAGGAAACTTTAGAATTTTGTCATGTGGTTACTTTTTTCTCCTGAGATCCTGTAAAGTGAAAACAGGTATTTTCATCAATAATAAAATAATAGTATCAGGGTTCCAAATGTAAATGAGTTAAAAACACATTGAATTGAAGAGAAAATGTTGTTCCATGATTTTGGAAAGCCTTTTTTACTTTAAAAACATCTCCGCATCTCCCATCTGTTTATGTGTAGTGTTTCTGGTTCTTGGTTGGTCAGATTTCTTTCTAGAGATGAAATCGGGTTCCTCCTATCTCTGGCCTGTACCTACCTGATGGCCTCTGAGGCTGGATTCATCCTAAACTCCTTGATGGTGTGAAGGAAGCATGGGCCTAGGGGATTATACAAAATGCAAACAGCCTGGATCCCCCCATTTCCTATAAGGGGTCACGTGGCATCTTGATGACTATGAGCTATTATAGGTGTTTTCCACGTACAAACTGATTTAAACCTTCCAACAACCCTTTGTGGTACTTTTATGATCCCCATTTCACAGAAAAGAAAATTGAGGTACAGAGAGGTTAAATAACTTACCCTAGGTTATACGTGCTGTTCAGTGAAATGACCATCTTATTTAATTTGGTTTGTGAAAGGAAAGGGAGATTCCAGCATCTTATAAGAGTCTAAGAAAGCCATTTCCTTCCCATCTTTGTGAAAACCTCCAGGGAGTTGGCATTGTGGTGCTTTCAGTGACCTCCTCCTTTAAAGACAGTTATTCTGATGAAGGTGCCAGGATATTGGCCTATACAGAGTGGGAAGACAAGAAGACAGGAGACTTGAATTCATGCCTGGTTTCTGGTTTTAGCTGTTTGCTGTGTGGCCTTGGGCAAGCCACTTCATCTTCCTGTATGTAATATGAGGATGTTGGACAAGATATGCTTTGTCCTTCACATTCTGTGGTTCCTTAGTTGTTTTTTTTTTTTTTTTTTTTTGAGACAGAGTCTCACTGTGTCACCCTTGGTAACATGCTATGGCATCACAGCTCACAATAACCTCAACTCTTGGGCTTAAGTAATCCTCTTGCCTCAGCCTCCCAAGTAGCTGGGACCACAGGTGCCCGCCACAATGCCTGGCTTTTTTGTTGTTCTAGTTATTGTTGTTTAGCAAGCCCGGGCCAGGTACGAACCCGCCAGCCTTGGTGTATGTTGCTGGCACCATACCCACTGTGCCATGGGCTCAACACAGTACATTATCTTTTCACTTTTCCTCTTGAATTGGCAACCGTTAACTGGTAGACAGAGTAATTCACAATAAGATGGGAGTCACTCTGCCTGCTGCCCCTCCTGGAAGAATCTATGCTTTGAACTAGACTCTGGGAGAGAGATGTGGCCCTGATAGGAGGGCAGGAGGGTGTGTGACTATTTGGGGGTAGGTCTTGTCCTCAGATTGATTGTTAATGACTTGAAAATAGCCAGGTCATTGAGCCTAAGTGGGCAGAAACCACTGAGGCTGGAGGTAGGTGGGTCTTTGTCAGATCCCCTTTGCAAGGTGATTCTGAAGCTGCACTCATGAGTGGATTGCAGGCCTGATTGTTGTTAATTAGGATAACAACAGGCTTTCGTCCCATAATTCCACTCTCCCTGCTGCCAAGAGTGCCAGCCTGGGGTAGAAATGCCAGCTGAGTGCAGACAATGCCTTTCTCATTGATGGAATTACGGGGCCCCATGAGATTATGGGACTGCAGGAATTATGGCACTGGAAGAGAAAGGACCCACTGATTTCAATTGTTATCACCAAAAATAGAGATTGATTGTAGGGGGTCTTCTGTCAAATCCCAAATATAATAGGAGAGAAAATAATCCCAAATGAAGAGTTATTCAAATAGGTGTTATGTTTTAAGACTAAAGGTCCAGGGCCAGGCAAGTTGGTTCATGCCTGTAATCCTAGTACTCTGGGAGACTGAGGTGGGTGGATTGCCTGAGCTCATGAGTTGGAGACCAGCCTGAGCCAGAGCAAGACTTCATTTCTAAAACTAGCTGGGTGTTGCAGTGGGCACCTATAGTCCCAGCTACTTGGGAAGCTGAGGCAAGAGAATCGCTTAAGCCCAAGAGTTTGAGATTGCTGTGAGCTGTG